TTTGCTGACGTCCGATCTCAACCTTGGTAACACTGTAGACCTTAGCAATTCAGCCTATGCTGCTATTAAGGTATCGAATCATTCACTTTCACTTTCCGTGATAGGGTAAAAAAAAAAATGTTTTCAGAGAAGTAACGTAAGACATTAAAAATTATTATTACCAAAACTGAAATTTAAAAAAAATTAAGTAACAAATTGAAGCATTAGTTGAGGAATGAACAGAATTTGGGCACTAAAAGGTGGTCACTCTGTATTAAGCAAACAAAAAATCTGAAAATAGCTGAGTATTTCTTGGAAAATGGAAATTTATTGTGGCAGTTAAATCTCAACGTTACTTGTCAACATTTTGTCCCACTACAAAACTTCATATATCACGTATTTTCTCAAAACTGTAATAAATGAATAATATTCTGCAAGCTTGGCTATATTTATCATGGCTGCTTAATACATATTTCAGAACTCAAGGAATTACATGAACGACATAAACGAATAAACTCTAAAAAATGATATACGAAATGGTTCAAGCAGCCGCAGTTCTTGACATACATCACACATTCGTTGACAAAACGAAAAATTATGTTTGGGGAGACGTATAAGTTAAAAAAGAAAATGTCTGCAAAAGAAAATTTCTCATATCCCCCTCCAGAAAAATAATGGTCCGACCCTATTTCGAGAATGGTTCGCACTCAGATGGAATGTCTTTTTAGTGGTCAGCTCTTCAAAAAGGCCACTATAAAACTAAGTTTCAGATCTGATGGTGTGCAGATAAAGTACATTTAGTGATTCCCCTGAGTTTTGGGGTGGTTTCACAATTTTTTCCTTCACGTAAAACAAAGTCCTCACATAGATGTTTCGTAACAACAAAAACTTTCTTCGTCGTTCTCTTTCGTGTTCTTGTCAGCTGTGTTCTTTTCTCTTTGGCAAAAGAACCAACAAAGAAAAAAAGATGTGGCGGTGATGAATTTGCAGACAGCCATTACCGCGACCAGAACTTGAGCCAGCCCATCATGATCGTACTCAAGGCAAAATCCCCGGTGACCACACCTTAAAGTAGAAAAAAAAATTCATGGAGTGAGTTTTAAACCCCGTTTAAGCAATAGACAACTGTAAATCGTTGGAACTGGTGGGTTTGGACTTCAAGAACAATACTTGACGCTTTTGGACAAAAGGTTGTGGAACAATGAAGGAACTGCCAGACTAATTCCAACCGTGTCGAAGAAGGATCGTTTCGCCTACGAGTCGTTTTGCTAACAATCAGTTCGCTAACGTCTTAGGTCGTTTCGCCAACGTCTCAGGTCAGTTCACTTTAAAAGTCTCATTGGTCGTTTCGCCGACGTTTTAGCCTTTAAGGCTATTTCACCAAGGTCTCTTCCGCATTTGCATTTGCATGATTTGCCTTAAGATTCACTTAGTTCCGGAGCTTCTTAGATGCACTTTGGTTCATTGTGGCAGTGAAACGACTCGTGCGCGAAACGACCGGTTATTTCTGAATGGCATCAGACGAATAAGACTTAACAGCAGTCACCCTCAAACGCGGACCCAGATCTCTAGTGCGTAACAGCACAATGAACACTTGTCCCGCGATTGATGATACACTATGAGACATAACATTAGAGTACCTTGAGCTCCAAAGGATGCATGTCTTGTCCAAGAGGGCTCCAAATATAATTGGCCCTGGGATGGCGCCAAGGACCCTCTCAAGGTCCATCTGGAGTCCTAATGCGTATGACTGCTGACCGGGTGGTACACTCCTAAAATGATAGCGACTTTCTTCATTGCATTAAAGAGATCGAAATTTAAAAGCTTCCTTTTGTTTTTACTGCACATGACACCCACTGTGGACATAACAGATCCCCAGGCAGCAGTATACACTGGGCATTTCAGATACGAGCCTATAGGTACAGATGACCCAACTCGCCTGAGCCCACAGTACACAGATGATCCAACTCGCCTGATTAGTTCCTTGATGCTCCTTAATTAGAGCATCTGGCCCTTGAGCACGAAAAGTTGACGGGTTTGAATACTCACCAGAAACCTAAATAAATGTTACACACTCGCGACATATCAATCCCACGTCTGTTCTTCGAAATGTGCTGCCTGGTAGTTGGGTTTTAGCTTTGATATAAACTCTTTGAATAGGCGGTTAGATCTAACAAGTAAGCCTTTTAAAACCTCTATTTCAATTTCTGTGCAAACTCTCTGTGCACAATGTTCCCTTATAATGTAGAATCTATGTTGTCCTTTGGAATCGCGATCGGATGCAAATCTAAGTGGTTCTTTAGAAGGTTACATACCTCAAGGTGACTACCAACCCTGGAGTGTTATTCATAAACGTGAGTAACGGGGTCAAAGTCACAGCAACCATGAACAGAAGAAACTTGAGCCCGCAATCAATGTAGCAGTTGCCTTTCTTCACTTGTCTAGCGCTCCCACCAGATTTTGCAGCGCAAGCGCAGTTGGAGTAAAAAGATCCCTTTAAAAAGAAAAAACGGTCAAATTATATTATTGAGGCGGTTAATCATAAGAAGGAACTACCTAGCTAGTCAGACCGTCCTTTTTACAAGAGCACCATTTTTGATCGAGAAACTGGCCTATGTTCATTAAGACAACATCACAATAGAAAAAAAAATAGCCAGTCTAAGACTGTATGTGGCTACTATTCAAGCAATTTTTAAAGCGTTGAAAAGAACTTGAAGTTGTAAGATGACGCTAGAAAGAAGTGTTACAAAAGATCTGTATTCACATGCCTAACGGAAAACCTGCCACATCTAAAGTATTCATAAGTGCCCTGTTTTCACAGAAAAATATAATTCCCAAATGCAGTGACTAATTGAAATTCATCCAATAATCATATTAAAACGAATTTTATATCAACAATAGTCATTATAAAAACTGATCGACTAATAGTGGCCAAAATCACAGGACAACCTCAAGAGGCCAAAATGGCAAAACGACCACTAGTAGCCAAAATGGCAAAACGGCCACTAGTGGCCAAAATGGAAAATCCGCCACTTGTGGCCAAAATAACAAGACGGCCTGATCGACTAATAGTGGCTAAAATCACAAGACGGTCACTAGTGGCCAATATGGCAAAACGACCACAAGTGGCAAAAATGGCAAAACGGCCACTACTAGCAAAAATATCAAACCGGCCACTAGTGACCAAAATGGCAACACACCCATTAGTGGCAAAAAAGGCAAAACTACAACTAGTGGCCAAAATGGCAAAACGGCCACTAGTGGCCAAAATGGCAAAACAACCACTAGTCGCCAAAATGGCAACTCAGCCACTAGTGGCAAAAATGGCAAAACAGCCACTAGTGGCCAAAATGGCAAAACAACCACCAGTCAGCCAAAATGGCAACTCAGCCACAAGTGGCCAAAATGGCAAAACGGCCACTAGTGGCCAAAATGGCAAAACAACCACCATTCGGCCAAAATGGCAACTCAACCACAAGTGGCCAAAATGGCAAAACGGCCATGTAAATGTATCCTTTCAGGTTAGAATTTGCACTCCATTCCCGGGTTGATAAACACGCATGCGATAAACAACAGACCAATATAGCTTCTTTTCTTTGTTTATTTCTTTCCTTTTCTTTAAGGCGTTCTTATAACGAAGCGGTCAACTGAAATCATTACGTGAAGAAAGTACCAAGTATCATGCGATCATAGCTTTAAGAATAATATCAATTTGGTCAACGAGCACGTGGCAATTAAAAGAACCAAGAAAAGTAAAAAAACTAGCGATAAGTTTCGCTTTGAATCACAACTGCGAGTTAACATAGTCACAAAATAAATTGTTGTTTACCAAGCTTTGCGGGTCTTGACTTCTTTATCGAGAATTACGGTCTAACTTGTCTTCTACTAGAAACGGTCTTGATTACACGAGGTCTTATCCTGAACTGAAACGTTAACTATAATTTTCTGTCTTAAAATGAACAAACCACGGAGGCGTTTATCAAACCACAAAATATTTCGTAGCTTCTTCCGGAAGCGGTAACATTTCGCTATAACGGAAGCGGTTACAGGCCACTAGTGACCAAAATGGCAAATCCACCTTTAATGGCCAAAATGGCAAAACGATCACTTGTGACCAAAATCCCAAAACGGCCATTAGTGGCCAAAATCGAAAATCTGCTACTAGCAGAAATAATCGCTAGACAACCATTAGTGGCCAAAATGGAAAAACGGCCACAAGTAACCAAAAGGGCAAAACACCCAACAGTAACAGTAACGGTAAAATGGCAAAAAGACCACTAGTGGCCAAACTCGCAAAATGGCTACTAGTATGACAGGACGGAAAATGCGTGCACTGCAAGTACCCTCCCGTTGTCCCATACAAAGCCTTAGAAAACTTTCAGTCTAAGGCTTTGTATGGGACAACGGGAGGTACTTACAGTGCACGCATTTTCCGTCCTGTCAGAAGAGTGAGTGTGTCAAATCAATAAGTGGCCTCTAGTTGCCTAAATGACAAAACGGCCCCTAGTAACCAAACTAGCTAATCGGACACTAGTTATCTAAATGGCAAAACGGCCACTAGTGGGAAAATGGCAAAACTGCGACTACTGGCCAAAATGGCAAAACTGCCACTACTGGCCAAAATGGCAAAACGGCCACTAGTGGCCAAGATGGTCAAGGCAGGACTAGTGGCCAAAGTGGCCAAAACGGCCAATACTGGCCAAAATTGCAAATTGGCCACTAGTGGTCAAAATGGTAAAACGGCCACTAGTGCCAAAAAAATTGTAAAAGAGCCACTAATGGCCTAAATGGGAAAACGGCCACTAGTGGCCAAGATGGTCAAGGCAGCACTAGTGGCCAAAGTGGCCAAAACGGCCAATACTGGCCAAAATTGCAAATTGGCCACTAGTGGTCAAAATGGTAAAACGGCCACTAGTGCCAAAAAAATGGTAAAAGAGCCACTAATGGCCAAAATGGGAAAACGGCCACTAGTGGCCAAGATGGCCAAGACAGCACTAGTGGCCAAAATGGCCAGATGGCTATTAGTGGCAAAAATGGCAAACCGGGACTAGTGGCAAACATGGCAAAGCAACCACTAGTAGCCGAAATGGCAAAATAGCCACGAGTGGCCAAATGGGAAATCGGCCACTACTAGCCAAAATGGAAAAACGGCCACTAATGGAAAAAATGGCAAATTGGCCATTAGTGGCCAAAATGGCAAAACGGCCAC